TTTCCCTACCTTTAAAAAATATATACCGCAGGTATATAATTGGAGGATTAGCTGGTAACACAATACGGTCACAAAATCCAAGGACCAGACAAGTAATATGTCTAAGCCAGCTGGATGTAAAATGGCAACTGACATCAAGCTTAGGGTCAAGGAGATAAATGAAGGGGAGGGAGACTGTGGTACATGGGGAATGTGTGACCAACATACAAAGTAGATGTTCACTACTCAACTCTAGGCATGTTAACACGAGGTGAGGAATGTGGGCCCAGGATTGTCAGGTACTCCTATTTTTCAAGAGAACCTGGAAATCAGCATTTTATGTGTTTGCAACACATTCAAAAATTTTCAAAATAATGTGGATGCCAAACAAAACACTTGTCAATTGGTTTTCATCCACAGGCTACCAGTTTGCAATCTGTTAGATGTCTCTTAACTGCTAGGGCAATATAGAACTTTTGGCATGTTATGGGCAACATGGGCTGGACTGGGAACTTGAACACTAAATAATCTTAAAGAAAAATGCATTCTTATTTTCCAAAAATCAGCTCCCAAGTAAGCTGCTGGCACTCAACTGTTAAGTAAACTGATACTGCCAACACTTGTTCTCCTGGTCCCCATTCAAAACCTCAGGCACAGGTTGCTTTGCTGTCTCTCCAATTCTGTATTTCATTCCCAGTCTTACCAATCCTCTGGTATCATTAGGTGCAGTCCCCTCTTACTTTCTTTTTTCCTTTCCCCTCATCCTTTCCAATCACCTTTGCAATCCCTGACGTTAGTTCCTTATCACTTCCCTTCTGGACTACTTAACCAACCTCCTAACCTGTCTCTTCTTCCCAACCCATCCTGAGTCACTAACAGGTCCCTCTACTTCCAGGGGCCTCACTAGTGCTGCTCCAAGTCCCAAGTCCATCAAATTCAATTCAGGACCCTCCACAGAGCCCCCAATCAACCATTCCAATTTCTTCCTGCAAGCCAAGTATCCTAAGCATATAGCTACCACCTCCTCTGTGCCTATTAATGCTGTAGCTCCCTTCCTAAAATGCCCTCTCAAAGTTTCTCCAGACTCAACACCCAAACTCCATGACATCGCCTCCATAAAATGAAGTCCTGGGTTTCCCTGGTGGCGCAGTGGTTAAGAATCCACCTGCCAATGCAGGGGACACGGGTTCGATCCCTGGCCTGGGAAGATCCCACATGCCACGGAGCAACTGAGCCCGTGTGCCACAACAACTGAGCCTGCGCTCTAGAGACTGTGCTCTGCAACAAGAGAAGCCACGACAATGAGAAGCTTACGCACCACAATGAAGAGTAACCCCCACTCGCCGCACTAGAGAAAACCCATGCGCAGCAACAAAAACCCAACACAGCCAAAAATAAAAACAAATAAATAAATAAATTTATTAAAAAAAAAAAAGTGAAGTCCTCCTAGGCCACCTGAGTCTCATCTTCCTACAAACTCATAAGCCCTATTGCGAGCATCACTATTTACCTCTTGCTGTACCTTATATTACTACTTAAACCATGTGGTATTAATTATATGTTTATTAAAATGGGGAGCCAGAAACCCACCACACAGAGGCAAGGTTATACACTGCGTAATTATTAAATACACGCACAGAATCAATTTACCTGAAGCATATAGCATTTCCAAAATGTAAAAATAATGTTAACATATAATTAGTCACAACTAAACCATTATACGATCTGACATCCCATAACCAGCTATATAATAAGGCTCAATCCTAAAATGAACATAATTATCAAATACTTTTGGTTAACTCCACATTGTCCTTTTTACTTATCAGATGAAATTCACAAAAGAAAAGTGTTACTACTTTGTATAATACTCTATCAAATATGTATCTTATAATCACCTTGTTTAGCATATATTAATTTATTCCAGTGAGGTTTAATGCTTGTTCGTTAGTTTATGTAGCTGAGAAGCTCCCCTTCACACCAAAAAAACTTTTCTGAGGGCTACACTTAGCCAAGTGTACTTTCATACCACACAAAAATACAGATATAGCTTTTGAAACTCACCATGGTCGGGGAAAAACTCCTCATTTTCATGTCATTTATCCATATTCTTGCTACTTCTTTATTAGAAGACTCTTTCTTTACTGTGCCATTGCTTACATCAGCTGAGGGGGAGAAATATTTACATTTTAGAACAAAATATCTATTTTCCTACAGTTTTTTAAAAATTCAGTAAAGTTTACCCACTTCACAAACCAAATACCAATCTGCTTATCTCTAACTTAAATTAAGCATAAGGATAAAAATATTCAAGCTATATGTCATTATGGAGGTAAGAATTAACATTAGAAAACTTAAAAGGAAACATGTGCACAGGAAATTTGAAAACTATTTATCAAAAAGACACCTTAACCAGAACACTATTTGGCAGTTTATTTCAAAACAATTACCCACAGCCAGCATTACTCTGAGACACTTCACTTGGTGCAAAACCTGGTATTATCACCAAGATAGAATCAATTGCACCTGATCTGGAGGTACTTACTAACTTTCAAGGCAAAATAATTATTTCTGGAAAGGAAAAAAAACAGTTTGGGAACTCTACTGTCTTCCCTCAGAATAAAGATCCAAGAGTGAACCTGTTCTATACCAGTGGTTTGCAAACTCTTTTAAGATATAACACAAGAACCTCTCCATCAAAATATCAATCAAAGTAGAACTACTGGGCTTCCCTGGTGGCGCACTGGTTAAGAATCCGCCTGCCAATGCAGAGGACATGGGTTCGAGCCCTGGTCCGGGAAGATCCCACATGCCGCGGAGCAACTAAGCCCGTGCACCACGACTACTGAGCCTGCGCTCTAGAGCCCGCGAGCCACAACTACTGAAGCCCACGCACCTAGAACCCGTGCTCTGCAACAAGAGAAGCCACAGCAGTGAGAAGCCCGCACACTGCAACGAAGAGCAGCACCCATTCGCCGCAACTAGAGAAAGCCCGCGCGCAGCAATGAAGACCCAACAGAACCAAAAATTAATTAATTTTTTTTTTTTTTAAAGAACTACTTGGTTGAGAAATTCTGAGCCCCTGTAACTAGCCTCCATCCTCCAAGTATACCTGAAGCACTCCCAGTACCTGGTATTCTTGCAATTACGGTGTGAAAATTACACCAGGAGAACGGATTATGACCTTAAGTATTCTACCAAAAGATAGGGAGTATTTGGGTGGCCTGTCACTGGGGACTACAAAATGGCTGGGATTAAAGTGTTAGCAAAATAAGGAAGCTGGTACAGAGATAATAAATTTACTTAGGAGCACAGATCTGTTTAATATAACTGTGGGAGAGCCACTGAACAGTTCATAGAAAGAGTTACAGGACTGGAGCTCAACTGAGAGATCAGAATCCAAAGAGACACCTAAAGGGCTAAGGGCTCCAAAAGGGGCAGAGAACATGCAGGGAATTCCCTGGCGGTCCAGTGGTTAGGACTCCATGCTTTCACTGCCGTTGAGGGCCTGGGTTCAATCTCTGGTTGGGGAACTAAGATCCCACAAGCCATGCAGGGCGGCCAAAAAGAGAGAGAGAGAGAGAACATGCAAAACCTCGCTCTTTGCAGTTTGATACTTTTAACATTCTTCCCTCAGTAAAAAGATGACCCTCTCCTACAACACAAAAGTTGGTTTATCTTCGGCATTCACTTACCATGTTTCTTTTTCAGCCCTGGTCTAGTCTGACAATTTCTCAGCCTTCCACACAAGGATGGCCTTGACTTGTCTTTTAAGAAGTATTATACTGGATGTGGGCGATGTTACTGTACTAGATACTACTCGGTCAGCTCCAAAGCTCTTTTGTTTTGCTCTCTAAACTCTTTCCTCACGATGGCACAGCAGCAGTCTTTCTCCTCATTAAATCCAAAGACTTTAATGAAAAGCAGCTTCTACTAACTGCTGATCACCCCTAAGTCTCCCAGGAGCCATTCCAGATGCTGCCCTGCACCTCAGCTAGGTCAGGGCCGTGGTCCTGCTCTCCATGGCACAGAATGGAAATCAATTCTGAGACAGTTAAAATGATTTCTCAATGGGCATCTAGCTGCCAGGCTCCAGTCAGTTCAGGACAATAACGTTAAGAGTAGAACTACAGCCAAAAGGCACAAAGGTATGGACTCAAAGATATTATCTGGTATTTTTAATTGCATTTGTCACTGAAGACAAAGTTAGCTCTGTATCACCTACAAACACTCCTTGCTCATTCCTTCAGAATGCCCCAGCCCTCTACTTTATTATTTTTTTTTAATATTTATTTATTTATTTGGCTGAGCCACGTCTTAGTTGTGGCATGAGGGATCTTCATTGCTGGGTGAGGGATCTTTAGTTGTGGCACACGGGATCTAGTTCCCTGACAAGGGATTGAACCCAGGCCCCCTGCATTGGGAGTGCAGAGTCTTAACCACTGGACCACCAGGGAAGTCCCTGGCCCTCTACTCTATAAACACAAGCACATTAGAACTTCTCAGCAATCAATTCTGCTACAAAATTATATATCGGGTGTTAAAACTTATCTCTCTCAATTGGAAAAATAAAGCAGCTGTTTGGAAGGAGGAACTCTCTATTCAATATCTAGCACCCCATTCCAAGAGCCCAGTGGGATGCTATGTATCAGTTATTAGTATAAATCACCAGGCAGGGAGTCAAATACTATTTAGCCCAATGGAAAAAGAAAGGAAAGAATATCCCTCTTAAGAGTTCACATTTTGGGAATTCCCTGGCGGTCCAGTGATTAGGACTCCACGCTTTCACTGATGAGGCCCAGGTTCAACCCCTGGTTGGGAAACTAAGATCCTGTAAGCCGAGTGGCACAGCCAAAAAAAGAAAAAAAAAAGAGTTCACATTTTTCAGTTTCTAAAACTATACTACTAAAATTTGATATAGCCAAAGTTAAAAAAAAAAATCTATTTTACCCTTAAAATTACCTTACTACACTAAATACAAAGCATCCTCTAAGCATTCCACTTAAATACAACCTCTTCCTGCCCCATATTCCATTTTCTATTTTTCTCCACGTGCCTACCCCTATCTAACATACTATATACTTCATTTATTTTGTTTATTGTCTGCTTTTCTCCACTCATATGCAAGCTCTATGAGGGCAGAAATTTCAATAGTCTTCTTCCCAGCCATCATCTCAGAATCCTAGAACAGGGACTTCCCTAGCAGTCCAGCGGTTAAGATTCAGTGCTCCCACTGCAGGGGGCATGGGTTTGATCCCTGGTCAAGGCACTAAGATCCCACATGCCTCGTAGTGTAGCAATTAATAAATAAATAAATATCTGTTGAATAAGTGAGCAATAAAAAAGCCACTCCAGAGAAGAAAAATTAACTGTAAAATTTATAGTGTTTATGCATAAATGAATTCCTAAAAAAGAGTGATCAAATCACTGTTGAGCTTTTTCTCTTTAGATCTAAACCTACACTTAAAGCATTATGGATTAGCTAGTGGTAATGGCTACACAACTCTGTGAATATACTAAAATCCACTGAATTGTACCCCTTTAAAAGGTACAATGGTATGTAAATTATCTCAGTAAAGCTATTATTAAAAAGGTATTTTGAGTACTCACTCTTCAAAAAAAATGTAGTGAATTACTATTCATTTTCATTACAATGAAAGTTTATATATTTTAAAAGAAAACTGACTAAAAAACACGACTACCGACATACAATGAAGCTAATGACAAGCAAAATCATAAAACTGTAAGAGTTAAAGTAGTAAAGTATCAGTTTAAAGCCCATTACACCTCAAGCATGGTCCAAGGACCACCAGCAACAGCACCTCTAAAAAGCTTGTGAGAAATGCAGAATCTTGGTCCCCATCCCAGGCCTACTGAATCCGACTCTGTTTTTGTACAAAGATCCCCAAGTGGGACTTCCCTGGTGGCACAGTGGTTAAGAATCCACCTGCCAATGCAGGGGACACGGGTTCAAGCCCTGGTCTGGGAAGATCCCACATGCCGTGGAGCAAAGAAGCCCGTGCACCACAACTACTGGGCCTGCACTCTAGAGCCCACGTGCCACAACTACTGAAGCCCGCGCGCCTAGAGCCCATGCTCCACAACAAGAGAAGCCACCACAATGAGAAGCCCGCACACTGCAACAAAGAGTAGCCCATGCTCGCCACAACTAGAGAAAGCCCACACACAGCAATGAAGACCCAAAGCAGCCAAAAAATAAATTTAAAAAAAAACAACTCATTTAAAAAAAAAAAAAAAAAAGATCCCCAAGTGACTCAGAGTTATAAAGTTTGAAAAGCACTGATTTAAATGACTGAGAAAAATGTTAACCAGTTATTCACAATTTATAAAACTGAGATCTCATGGTGTTCATGTAGCCACTTGATAATTCCACACTTCATTTTAAAGCTTAAGGCTAAGGCTTCTAAATTTTTGCTTCCCTTGAATTGCATAAATACTGTAAGTCCACAGAGTCATGCAGATATCATCTCCTGTCATGACTACTTCTTTTAAAACCTAAGCAAACCCTTAAAAACACACTGACATATCTTAACGAAGGCAAGCAGTTGACACTACTGAAAACAAAAAGACTTACTAGCTGCTGTTGCAACTGGCTGAGCAATATTAGCCGGTGGCTTCAGTTTCATGAGTTCGTTCAGACTATTATTTTTTAGTAGGTCCTTCAGTTGAACCTGGTCTTTTGAAGGTGCAGAGGTCATGGCATTTCGTGCTGCTGGTGCTGAGACTGAAGGACGTGTGTTTGCAGTAGTCTGAATGAACTTTGTTAAAGTGATGGTTTGCCTATTCGTGGTTACAGGTGGTGTTTTAGTCATTACAATTGTAGATCCCAAAGTCGGAAGCTGATTTATTTGATTCAGCACAAATGTTGTAGTAGATGGAGGCTGCTGCTAGAAAAGAAAACCATATACATCACACCTGTGAAAAATTCTTTATTCTCTAATGCAACCCATATCCACAAACACAATAGGCCATTTAAAACTCTAAAACTGACTTATTAAGAATCTTACGCAACCATTGGCACTTTGGTTCTAATAAATATCATTAGATATAAACTACCTAGTTAAAATACACCATTTGAGAAAGAGAAGGTATAATAGTAGTGTTGGGGGCAGCAAGCCTAAAATGAGAGTATCCTAAGCAAGCTGTGATGTATAGTCACCCTACATAACACAAGGACTAGGAACATAATTTGTAATCCCAGCACTGCCCCCAACTAATCAGATAACCTTAGGCAAATCACTTTGCCTCTGGAGGCCCGGGGTCTCTGAGGACCATTTTCCATTTCTAACATTCTATGATTCCTGTCCAATGCTTTGTCTGCTATCATACAGACTATACTAACGTTTAACTTAATAAGATAAGACCACCAAGCAGAGTTTTAAATTCCTATGCCCCATGAATGACCCACCCAGGTAAATTACAAATATCAGTGGTAATGCGGATGCTTCCTTTGAGCCTAAGGCAAAGCTACATAGCATTTTATTTTTATAGTTGGGGGGGTGGGAGTTAGGAGTTGGACAAAAATGAACAAAAAAAGTCAAGATTTGAGGATAACAAATGTCTGTGACTTCAACCAACTAAAGTAAAACACAGATTTTCTTTTTTTCTTTCTTTTTTTTTTTTTTTGCAGTACGCGGGCCTCTCACTGTTGTGGCCTCTCCCATTGCGGAGCACAGGCTCCGGACGCGCAGGCTCAGCGGCCATGGCTCATGGGCCCAGCCGCTCCGCGGCATGTGGGATCTTCCCGGGCCGGGGCACGAACCCGTGTCCCCTGCATCAGCAGGTGGACTCCCAACCACTGTGCCACCCAGGGAAGCCCCAACACAGATATTTTTATAAATTTAAGTCTATTTCTACTTCTTTCCCCCTTCAAATTATTTGTTATTTCCCCATGACTTAGTAACAAGAATCTTCTAGATTACTATTAATTTTAAATGTAACTCTCAACAATAATTTATCAAAAGTTATCAAATTTTAACCAGTCCAATACTTTTATACCACTAGAGCTTAAATTAATAATTGTTATGTGTACGGAGTTTCCTGTGGCCTACTGGTTAGGATTCAGGGCTTTCACTGCCGTGGCCTAGGTTCAATCCCCGGTTGGGGAACTGAGATCCCACAAGCTGGGCAGCCCAGCCTACAGCAACAACAACAACAAAAACTGCTATGTTTAAAGCAAGGTCAGTGGAACTCTACATTTAAAGCACAATAACAATCACATAAAAATTATATATACCAATGGACAAAAGCTGAAATAAACAAGTAAAAATGAAAAGTGTAGTGAGTTAACGTGTAGTTCACCTTTACTTCGTGAATTTTCTATCACTTGCAATAAATAACCTAAAAAAATGGGGGTTTCCTTCCCCCTAATCTTTTGATCAACATAACTACCAGAAGAGTGAAAGAAACGTTTTATAAAGTAGGAGGTGAGAGTAGATAGAATACTGGGAAAGAAGCAGCAAAAAGCAGAACTAGTGAAATAAAACTATTTCACGTTAAAGGTTATTTTCTTACTACAACCCTAAACTATTTTCATAGTAATGCCAAATCTAAATAATTCTTACCCTAACATTTAATAGTGCTGGAGTAGGTAGCGTCTCTGGTTCTTGTTTAACAGGAACTGCTGCTTCAGTCTCCAAACCTAGTTCTAATGCACTAAGTGGCACTGACTGGAGAGAAAACAACATCAGAGAAAGAAATAAAGAATGACGGCAGTGAATTCTGTTTCAAGAACAAGAGATGTATTTATTTTATTAAAATAAAAAAATTTTTCAAGCTTTACATTCAAATGGAATGTAGAATCACTGATACCAGGTATAAAGTAACAATCTTTGCAAGCATAACATCTTCACTAAACTACGCTAACACGAGAATCTTATTTTTGCTTTCAGAGAATGTGTATAGTGAAACCTCAGAAAAATATTCCTATAAAGTACAAAGACAAATATTGAGATTAGTGATCCTCCCACAATAACTCTAAGCAATTCATCTCTTACGTTATATACCAAAGCAGAAAATGTCTTGATTTTCACTGCCAAGTATTTTCCACTTTGTGAATAAAGACTAATAATCAACATAAAAGTAATATTCACATGCATATTTAAAATTAAGGCTTAACAATACCTATTTCTATAATAGAAAATAAAATTAAGAAAAACTCACTTTTTACAGAGACTTTGGAAAACTCTTACCTGCTGTACGGGAGGGGTAGGTGTTGGAGTGGCAAGCCCCGCATCTCCACCATCAATATCAAAGAGGTCATTCGGACTAATTCCACTCTCGCTCAAAGCAGCAAGCAGTAAATCTTGCCCTGGCTCCACCATCTTTAGAACAAAATATTAAATATTAACATAAAAAACTTAAAATGACAATTAACTCTCTTCTAAACATAAACCAACATTTTCTACCGGATCCATTCATTCAATATTTATGAAGAACCTGCTACACAGCAGGCAAAAAAAGGATGAAAGAGTAGTCTCTGATCCCAAGAAATTCACATTAAGATGGAAAGGACAGAAAAGTATGCAAATCACAGAAAGAGCGTATGTTACAAAATGCTGTGGGAACAGAGAAGGAAATGCTGAATTCACCTGGGGAGAGAGATTACAAAGATGACAATGGAGCCAAGTCTCAGGTAAGAAATTGCCAGGTAAAAAAAAAAAAAAAAAAAAAAAAAAAAAAAAAAAAAGAAATTGCCAGGTAGACAAGGATCTTCTGGATAGTGCATTCAAACTTATGGGGGCACGAATGATGCTGGCACTCTAAGAAAGACGGCTAGAGTAGTTCAACATGGGTACGGAAGCTCAGAACAGAAATACGAGGCTCACAAAGGTGATAACAAGAGACGAAGACGTTTTCGCCCACAGCTCTGAGCACCATGCTAGAGAGCTCATTTAATCCTGTGAGAATCAGGGGTCACTAAAGGGTTTTCAGACAGAGGACTGCAAGACACAGTCAGATTTGTGACTTAGAAAAATTACTCCACAGCAGTATGGAAAGCAAACTGAGAATGGGTAGAGTAAGACCAAGGCAGGGAGACATCATAGGAAACTGCTACAGCATATCAGGAAAAAGATGATGTTCTATAACAGTAAGATGTAAAGAGAAAGAAGGGGGAATGGATTCCAAGATATTTAAGAAGGAGAATCCATAAGACTAAGTTTAAATAAAAGCTCAAAATGGAAGGGAGAACATGAAACACACACAAAAAAGCATGAGTTGATGGATAATTAGAGTTAAGCCAAGAGAAAATGAAAAAGGTTGAGCCCAGGAGACCTAAAAGATGAGATATATGGAGTTTAGGGGGAAAATGCCTAATTCGAGCAGGCAAACACACTTTCAGCTGGGATTTTCCAACTGTACTCATAGGAGCCAAATCAAAGTATTCTACCACTAAGATGGATTTTTATCCATTTTGTCGGGAAAAAAAAGTTTAACAGAGCTTTCTTAATTTTAACTTTTCTCATTAATTTATCTGAAATAACCAATTTATATACACAAACATAATTATGAGAAATGTGACTACTTGTTTTTATCAAAGAACTACATAAATATACTAATTTTCAGCTAGTCCATTTATTCTCAGGCTGTGCAATGCAATTAAATGTTTCATTATGTCCTACAAAAAAAAAAGTTGTTAGCCAAGAATACCATGACCACAACTTCCCAACATACAAGAACCACTGTTTTAGATCAAAGCAGGACATTTCATAGAGAAATTCTCTACTAGGTAGGTCTATGTCGCTTGTACATCATTTACGAAGATGTGATTTACAAAGATAGTGCTGGCGTAGGTAGCGTCTCTGGTTCTTATTTAACAGGAACTGCTGCTTCAGTCATCCAGACATCCAGACATCCAGAAATGAAATGAAGGGCAGACCTACTGTTTAAAGGATGAGAGGAAGGATAGCCCAAAGGAGATTTCCCCAAAATTTTTTAGAGAAAAGAAGTCTAAGGAAGAAAGCATTTTGAGCAGATAGGAGGAAGGGAAGGGAACTGACAGTGACTAAGTATCTTTTACAAGCCTGGCCCAGTGTTAGGCTCTTCATGTCCACCACTAGCCCATGACAACCCTGAGCAAGATAAGTATTATAATTCTAGAAATGAAACTGAGGCTCAAAAAGCTTAAATTACCTGCCCAAGGTCACACCCAGATCTAGACTGTTCAAATTCCCAAAGCCCATGCATTCTCTTTCCAATGAGTAGATCAAGAAGTCAATATTGGTAACCTGTGAAGTTTCAATACTTAACTTCGGAATAAAAGCCTGTCTGAGATTAAAACTGGAAAGGGGAGAATTAGTATTAAACAACAAGATGTAAATATGAAAGAATCAGATGACAGAGGAGACAAGGAGAAATGTCACAATATGGGTTTAATATAAAATTGATTCATTTGGGGGCTTTCCTGGTGGCACAGTGGTTAAGAATCCACCTGCCAATGCAGGGGACACGGGTTCGAGCCCTGGTCCAGGAATATCCCACATGCCGCAGAGCAGCTAAGCTCGTGCGCCACAACTACTGAGCCTGCGCTCTAGAGTCCGCGAGCCACAACTACTGAGCCCACGTTCCACAACTACTGAAGCCCACGTGCCTAGAGCCCATGCTCCGCAACAAGAGAAGCCACTGCAATGAGAAGCCCACGCACCACAACGAAAAGTAGCCCCCACTCGCCACAACTAGAGAAAGCCTGCACACAGCAACAAAGACCCAACACGGCCAAAAATAAATAAATAAAATAAATAAATTTATTTTTTAAAAAAGTTGATCCATTTTTCTAATACATAGTTGACCACACTTTACAAACTACTATCCTAGTACATAGTACAGATATGTATCAAGAGAGCAAACCAATGCTTTAAAAATATTTTCGGGGCTTCCGTGGTGGCGCAGTGGTTGAGAGTCTGCCTGCAGGGGACAAGGATGCAGGGGACAAGGATTCGTGCCCCGGTCCGGGAAGATCCCACATGCCGCGGAGCGGCTGGGCCCGTGAGCCATGGCCGCTGAGCCTGCGCGTCCGGAGCCTGTGCTCCGCAACAGGAGAGGCCACAACAGTGAGAGGCCCACGTACCGCAAAAAAAAAAAAAAAATTTCAATCTATAAAATACTTCATCAGGACCAATGACCTATGGGAATACAGGGTCTTAGCCCACTTGCTATGGCTTATTTTGACCTAGATTAATAATTCCTGAGACTATCAAAATGTCATCTTTTTTAAAGTAAATATTGGAAATAATTATTTACATTTGAAACAAAAGCACATTCTTTTAAACCAATGATTCCTAACCTACAGACCACAGAAAGCTTGGAGGCCGAGGGATCCATTAATCCATGTGTTACTGAATTCACGAGAGCTTTCTGAAGTATATTTTCTGAACAATTAGCATTATAAGTACAAAAATATCATGGAAGAGAGTTATTTGGGGAATAAACTTGTTGGAGTCCATAAGAAATGATGGCAACAGTTTTAAGTAACATTATCAGTGACCTACTCAAAATGCATAGGAATCACAATTTGAGACCCTCTGATCTGAGCAGTGACCTAGTACTGACAATGCCTGTAAGAGACACTGTCTTTTACGAGCTATTAACGAAAGAGATTTTAATTTTATATACATCTTATACACAAACAAAATCAAGGGATCCTTTCTCTCAAGCCAATTGGGCACAAATTCCCTACTTGCACTTTTTTAGCATGAGAAGTGGGGAGGGGATAGAGAGGACACATCTATGCCATTCTCTAACTCCATTAAGCAAAATCCTTAATATTTAATCATATTCCTATTCTGAAACTATCAATATTACAGACTCACAGAATTTCAGTGCTCAAGCTGACAGAGCCCCTAAAAGGTTATATTATGCAACCTTCCCCACATTTTACAAACAAGTAAGATTTATTCCTGAGAGGGAAAAAAACATTTTCACTTTGAACCCACTAAGTATAATGTAAACACAAACACTGTTAGATGCAAAAGAACTGCTAACTACTAACCACAGAGTGATTCTATCTCAAACAATGGACAACAAAAAGGTTCCATTTTTATCATAAATACATTTGAAAATATCACGTATTCAAAATAGTACACCTATGAAAGCGTCTATGATAAATAAGGACTAATGACACAGTAGTAGACAGAAACTAAGAGACATCCTTGGCAGGAAGAGAATCCTGAGAAACAACAGCCAATCAGAAGAATGAAAGGATACAGTTCCCACTGAGAACACCAACACTGAAACCTATCAACAAGGACAAGGTTCCTCTTGTTGAGACCGAAGCAGATCTTTATAGCTCTGGGCAGATACAAGAGATGTACCTGCAGCAGCAACAGCAGTACACTACAGAAGCTGAGGAGACTATGAAGTCAAGGGGAAAACCTGGTTTCAAATACTGACTACACCATCTGCTAAGTAGTGTAACACAGTTAAGTAATAACTTGTGACTCAGTTTCCTCATCTTCAAATGCGAATAAAAATAGAACCTACTTTACAGGATTGCTGTGTTGAGTAAATATTACACTACGTGGAAAAAATATTAGCTACTATTAACCATCACATTGATAAACATTACTATGATGTTCAAAAAACGTTTTCCTTCAAATTGCTGATATAACACTTTATATCTAGAATACAAATTTTACCTGTTGGCAATTTATTCACTAATTAACTTCCACACTACTTCTATAATACTAGCACCCTTTTTACTCAAGTGTCATACATCCCATATATCTAATCAATTAGCATATCTAGAGAAAACTGGTAGACATATTTAAATGTGCACATATAATATCATTTTAGAAATATCTTTGCTGGACATCCCTGGTGGTGCAGTGGTTAAGAATCCCCCTGCCAATGCAGGGGACATGGGTTTGAGCCCTGGTCCGGGAAGACCCCGCATGCTGTGGAGCAACTAAGCCTGTGCACCACAACTACTGAGCCTGCGTGCCACAACTACTGAAACCCACGCACCCTAGAGCTCCGGAACAAGAGAGGCCACCGCGATAAGAACCCCGTGCACCGAAACCAAGAAACCTCCACTCGCCACAACTAGAGAAAGCCCTCACGCAGCAACAAAGACCCAACACAGCCAAAAATAAAATAAATTTAAATTTATTAAAAAAAGAAAGAAAGAAATATCTTTGCCTGAAAAGGATTTTTCTCTTTACTTAATAGTGCTAAACATGTCTAATTTTTGACCCAACTCTGTTTTTATGTAGCCTGGATGTCGATGACTGGCACTCAGCTTAAGAATCTGAAGGATAATGATCCACTTAGAATTTAGCTGGTTAAGTCCATCAACAAGTATTCATTAAGTGTCTACTGAGTGCTGGTTCCTTAAGAGTATCAGGAGGAAGGGAAGGTACGTATGAAGTTTGCTAAAAAGGATTTTCTTTACCTAAAAGGATATATAATCTGTATTTTTTAACACCTACTTCCCCAAGCAGCAATTGCTCAGTCAAATACCCCTCCCCTCACTCTCATTGCAAAACCTATAGGAAGAATGGAATCACAAAGGAATGTGCAGATTATATACAAGTTTCAAAAATGCTTTGAAAAAGAAACCCAAGAAAGATTTGGGTGGGGGGGACTACTTTCTCCATCACAACATCAAAATCAGATGGCTTGTCTTCTCGACATTCACTATATGGTTGGAATTCTTTAACTCTCAAAATAATCCATGAGTAAAAACTACCCGTTATTCCCTTGTCAGAGATGAGAAACAGGCTTAGAGAGATGAACTGTAACAAGGTAACAACAAAGCAAGCTTGTAGCAGAATTACAAACCTAGGAGGGCTGATACCTGCGCTCTGCACCCCGCCCGCCCACCCCAAGATTCTGTGCTATTAACTCCATACCAGTATTTTTCAAACTGCTGGTCACAACAATGCTGTCAAATAATTTAAGTATGTCATGACCAGTATTTTTAAATATTTCAAATATAGAATATTCAAATATTTTAAATACAGACAGAATTAATGCAGCACACGCAGAGAGGGTAAACATTTCACAAAACTGAGTTCTATGCCTGCATTATGTACTAGGTCACAACGTAAAACACATTTCTTTCTGTGGAATGCAGTAAAAAAGGTTTGAAAATCACTGCTCTGTGCTATATACTGTCTCCCAAGAGGTAAATAAGCAAGTTAATTTGACGGGTTTTATACCATATTTTTTTTTCATAAAAGAGAGTTCCCGTTCTTCGAGAGCCTATCCTTTCCATCTACAGAAAATTTCAGTGGTATCACTAGGTTGTCCTTATTACTTAGTAAAGCTCAACCACATCAAAGTGGATCCGTCAATTAGCATAAAAAAAGACAACTGCAAAAACTTAAGGATTACATCATCTTGGTTATTAACTGTCTATTTAATGGAAAACAATTCCTCTCGGAAAGTATCTTTACACCAATTTTTGGCAGGCAAAGCACAAACCCACAGAGCCTCACGAAAAGTCAGGTATCTTGCTAAGAGCAGACCTCAGACCTGTGTGCTGTCTTCCTTCACAGGCAAGGCGGCAAGTCTCAAATCAAAGCTCAATTCAGAGACTAAGAAATGCCAATATGTTATCTGTACCTAAAGTCTTTGAGGTGAAAAAAGACTTTAAAAAAGCATGAAAAGAATCTCCACACTGCACGTTTTTAAATAGTAATCTCAGCAAAACCCTTAAAACATGTAAAACTGACACATAAGAGCATTCAATGGATGGATGAATGAACGGATGGATGAATGGATGATGTATTTACGATCTGTAAGCCACTCACTAAGCCTCCCTTTTTAACATTTACCCAGCAACTAAAATAAAATTTATTTAAAATTCTGGAGGATTGTAGGGAACAAAATTAGATCTGGGAATAAAGTTAGATTGGGAGATAAAAAGCAGAATCCAGAGGAAAAGAGTAAAGATAAAGATGTCTTCTCTGGTAAGGTAAACTTTGGAAAGAACTTCTTTAAACATGAAAATAAAATGTTCCCTTGCTTGCAAAACTAATGTCCCACTCAAGGCAGCAGCAGCAAATTCTACACATTTTATCCTAGAAATTCTGTACAAACTAACTTTTGTGCAGTGATGAAGGCTTTCCCCACTGCTTATGAAAAGCAGTTCTGATTGCGGTAAATAACTGGGAAAAAATGGAATCCCTCCACACTGTTATCTGGTTTAACTGTTTGCAACTGTTCTGAGGAACCGCGCTAGAGCAACTAGGGGTTTGACAGCTTTCTGGGCCCTCCTGCCGACACTTTAGAAAGCCTATTCTGTCTCTAATTCTGGCTGCCTAGAGAATATGACACATTTAACTCAACGTAAACTGCTAATAATCAACTTTTAAAGGTCAAAGGGGACCCAGTTTTTAACCTTCTCTCATCAACACGTGTTTAGTACAAACTTCCGGGTGCGGTTAAAACTGGCTGGGCAATTCAATGGCTAAAAACGTTGCTTTATTTGACTCTCATTTTCTCGCCCGTTCTTTTCCCACGTTTCTCAACCAGCGACTCCCCAAAACAAAAGCCTCCCACAGTAAACGGAGCACGCACATAAAAAGAGCTTCTCTGTGCGAGGATCAAGTTAGTGGTCCGCAAACATTAACCAAACAGAAACACAAAGCCGGGGTGGAAAGGGGAGGAGCTGGATGCCAGGGTCAGGAAAGAAACAATCACAAGGGTTCAGGCACATCCAAACCTCCTCAGCGGTTAAACCGACCCCAAACCACTTCTGGGAAACCACCAGCATACACTGGTTTGGGGAACTTTAGATGCTCGTTACGCCAAACACTCTCAAAGTAAGCCAATTCCCAACCGCCTTTCCCCTCCATATAGATGCTTACTTAGGGTCCAGGAGGCGAGCGAGCGAGCTCGAGGCAAAATTAACCTAATCACCGGGTGAGGCGTGAAGGTGGCCCCACGTGCCCCACGTACCGTCCCCATCGCCCCGACAGCGAGGTAATCAGCAAACTGCAGGTGCGGGGGTTCAGATCTGGGGCGACCCTGTCGCCTCCCGCACTCGCCCTGAACCGGAACAATCGTCCGGCAGGAGGACTTCTGAAGGATTACGGAGCTCACTTTCCTGAGGGGCCGGGACCTCGCAGCCCCCGGGTCGAGCCGCGGAAGCAAGGGGGGGGCGACGGCCCAGTCGGAGCCGGAGCCGGCGTCCGCAGACGCTGCCTCCTCGCCCAAACGGGGTGCCTCCGGCCCGGGACAGCGGGGCCCCCGGGGCCCGAGAGCCCCACGCGCGGCGACCGCAGAGCCCGGCGCCGACAGGCGGAGGAAGCGAGCTCGGCGGGGCCACCGCCGGGACCGTGCCCCCGAAGGCCCCCAGGGCGCGCAGCTGAGAGGGCTGCGAGGGGCGAGGGAGGCCCCAAGCCGGGGTGAGGTGGCGGCCCCCCCCCCAGCCCGGCCCCGTACGGCCCCCTGAGGAGGGTGGGAGTGGGAGGCTGTCCGGGAGGGGGAGTGTAGAGGTAGAAAAGGACTAAGGAGAGGACTTACTTTCCCCGCGGGATCCGACGCCGGAACAGCTTCTCCGGGTGGCGAGAGCTTGAAGAACCAGAGGCGACTGGAGCGGAGGCGGCGGCGGTGGCGGCGGCAGCAACGGCGTCCGGCTCTGCCTACCTCCCCGCCGCCATCTTGACGCCCCTCCCCCCCAGCC